TACTTTCCAAAATATAGTTTTGAATTTTTTTAAATTTTTTAATGTTCAGATTTTGAGAGAGAGAACAGGGGAGGGGCAAAGAGAGAGGGAGACAAAGAAGCAGGCTCCAGGCTCAGAGGGCTCTGAACTGGCAACACAGAGCCCAATGTGGGGCTTGAACTCACGAACTGCAAGATCATGACCTGAGCCAAAGTCAGATGCTTAACCGCCTGAGCCACCCAGGTGCCCCTAGTTTTGAATTTTCATAAGAAGTCTTCAAATGCCAAAGGTCCTATTTTACTTAGGATGACCAAAAAGTGCCATTTGAAGGACTCAATTTATTAGAATAGCAATAGCACAGATGAGCCTTTAATGAGTAAATGTGGCCCTTTCCTTGGGTATTAAAAGGCTACAGATGATTTTTATTTACAAAGTTTAATAAATCCTTTTGCATAGAAATTTCCTATCCTTAAGCTAGGAAGGTAGCATAAGTTGTGGGTTTTGCTGAGTTTACAACTGCGAATATTGAGGCCATTTTTTTTTTAAGTCAAACAAGTTTATACACCTTACAGTGAGCAAAACCAAAATGAGAATCAGGCCCTGTCTACACACCTACATTCTGTTTCTACCAAGAAATGGGAATATGCTGTTAGCAATTTAAAAACTATGTTATTCCACTTCATCTGAGGGGGTTGCCAATAACAATGAGAAATTAGGAAAGCCACTGTGTTCACTATGGCTGAAAAAACACGGCACTCAAGATCGTACATGAGAATAATAGATATTCCTAGAAAGAAGAGAAAAAGACAAAGAAAAAGATATGATTAAACTATGGGGAGAAAAATAGCCCTGAAAATTAAAAAAAAAAAAACAAAAAACCAAAACAAAACCCTCAAGTCTACAGATTGAAAAGGCTCACTCAGTCCCAAGCGATATTAATGAAAATACTCAGAGCTAGGCATGCCCTGGCAGAATTCCTGAATTCCAATATTGAAATAAATAGCATACAAGATCCTAGAGATTTTTTTAAAGTTACTTACAAATGAGCAAGAATCAGAGTAGCATGGAACTGTTCACCTGTAACCCTAGAAGCCAGCGGACAGTGGATGGGGATCCACAGAGAATTCAGAGAAAAGACTTCAGTCCAGGAATCCTATTCCCAGGAAAGATATCGGTCACCCATCAGAGTTAAAGAAAGACTTCTTTACCCGTGCTGGAATTCACAGAGTTCGAGGTATCTGCAGAAAATGATAGAAGTCTTCTAATCACTGTATCAAAACAGAGATCACAAGACAGGAGCAGATGGCAAGAGGGGTGCTGGCACTGAAAATAGGTGAAGGAAGTGTGAAGAAGAGATCCTTAAAACAGACAAGAAATACTGTAAGAGGAAACCTGGCAATGATCTGCAATTATTATTTCAAAGCCCAAGATTGGGGCGGGGTTGTGCTAACTGGACAGCGTGAGAGTGGGACGGGAAGAACCTTCAGGAGTTCTCAGATCAATGGGGAATGTGGAGTCAGCACATCAGGCAAGGCCATTGTCATTATTTTAATCCAATAATAGGCACTCAAGATGCTCTAAACATAATGACTACTCAGTTAAGAACTGTAGTGAACCTTCCAAATTACAGAAGCAAAGAAGGAAGTTAAAAGAAACTTAGTTAAAAGGATACAACAGCAAAGGAAAAGAAATAGAAATAAACAGGACAATGAAGGGATAAAATCAAGTGTATCAGATTTTCAGGCTCATCACACTGACTGGGAGTGGCCTGAATTCATCAATGGGGAAAAAAGTCAACAATCTGGGTTTTGAACACTCCAACATGACTACTTGAGGGGGTTGTGGGAGGGGCTGAAGGTCAGCTCGGATCAGCAGGCTTCTCTCTAATCTCAGGGGGGAGCCCGTCTGCAGGCAGCAAAGGGCTGTTTTTCCTGAGGTGATGGAATTCAGGGGTCACAGATTGGATGCCTTGGAATCAACAGCAAGGCTCAACTTGCACCTGAGGGTTATCCTCCCAGCCACTTCCCAGAACACATCATGAGACATGCACATTTATTAGGCACCATCTCACATCCATCATTCCCACTCAGGTACAGCATCCATGCTGCTTTCAGAGTGGTCTTTCTGAAATCAGAATTCATAAGCTCACCCACATGGTTCTCACTGCTCATAAGGTGTAGAAAGAGGGTCTTCCAAACCCAGGTAGAGGTTCACGTTTTTTCCAGACCCTTTTACAACAAGGAGCTTCCTATTACTCCAGAGTCACAAGATGATGACTTTGTTAAATTTTACACTGAGATCAATGGTTAAGACTAGAAATCACTGGGGCACCTGGGTGGTTCCGTCGGTGGAGCGTCCAACTTTGGCCCAGGTCATGATCTTGCGGTTCATGGGTTCGAGCCCCACGTCAGGCTCTGTGCTGACAGCTTGGAGCCTGGAGTCTGTTTGGAATTCTGTGTCGTCTTCTCTTTCTGCCCCTCCCTGGCTCGTACTCTGTCTCTCTCTCTCTGTCTCTTTCTCTCTCTCTCAAAAATAAATATTAAAAACATATTTTTTTAAAGACTAGAAATCACCAAGGTTTCCAACCTATTAACTCATCAACCAAATGCAAACCTGAGAATTTCTCTCCTTTTAAAATTTGTTATAGCTCTTGCTACTTCAACAAATGAGGAAAGAATGTGAAATCTGGAGTCAGGTATATTTTGTGTTGTAATCTTGGTTCTGCCACTAATTACTATGTAACAAATCACTCAGCCTTTCCTGGTCTGAGATTCTTCAAACATCACCTGAAGATAAGAATACTCCCCCTTTTTGTGGGATGAGAGAGCCTACTTAGTTGGGAGGATTAAAAATATGCCAAAAGAAAAGACCTGCAAGTGCTTGGCATACTTCTTTTAGGCTCTTAAGAACCGTTTGGTGCTAGATATATGCAGCGTGATGGTATTTTGAACATGGAGACTGTTAGCAACTTAGAATCTCCATTTAGTCATTCACGCCTGTTTTGCCGCCTGTCAAACCAAAAAATGGCTTGTCACATGGCATAGTGTTCTGTGTGGTATGAGTGAATTCTGGTATTATTCCACTAGAGCTTAAGATGAACATCGTTCTAGAAGCACAATTTCTTTACCAGCTTAGTCTAACAACTCGATTCATCCTTCCATAGAAATAACACGATTATTAATTCAAGTATCAGACTGATAATAAGCACATTATCAACAACTCTAAGGGCCCAAGTGGGTTTAACATACTGGGGTTCATTTGGGCAGTACAACCCTTTCAATGACTTGAGCCACTGTTGTTGGAAAAAATCCAAAATTCTTTAAAGGGCCCATATGGTCTCAATGGTCTCAATGGTCTGCTCTCTGCTCTCCTTTCCAGCATCATCTTCTACCTTCCCAAACCCCTCTCCTTCAGGCACATCTACCTTATTCCAGTTTCCTGACCTTAATTCATTTCCTCTTGCTACAGCTCCTTTGCACTTCTTTTCCTGGTATGGAATCTTCTTCCTCACTCTCATACGATCCTCCCCATTTATTCTTATCCTTCCAATCTTAATTCAAGTGCCACGTCCACAGAAAAGACTTGAACATTGCTTCCAAACCCCACCTCCGTATCTACTCAGTCTAGAGAGGATTCTTTGTGACATCCTCTGAATTCTGGCTATGGTGATCACTAATTCATGGGATTACTGGATTAACGTCTCAGTCATTCAGTTAGCGTCATGAGAGCAGGGGCTGATAAGGGTTTGCTCATCATTGTTCACACAGCAGCTCGCACGGTACCTCCTGCCTGGCAAGTGCTTGATGCTGCATGAATGAATAGATGAGTGAATGAATGAATGGATAAATATCCATTCCAAAGCTATTCATTTGTTGTTCAATAAAAGATTTCACTGGGTTGTGGAAAAGGCCTTAAAAACAAGCAAGTAGTCCCAAGCTGGCTTCGGAACTTGTAAGTAGACTCTGATTGTTCACTCCTCAGTCCTCGTTACTTAAGAGCATTTGGGCCACCTTGAACTACCACAGGATGAAACATTTGACCAATCCACTTATGCTTTTTAGTTTTTTGGAGAGAAAAGTAAAATCTATTTCTTTGTACAACTGCAACATTTATGTCTAGCTAGATAAGATTATACCTACTAAATTTCTGCCTTCACTTTCAGTGTTAATAGAACTTTCCAACTTAATGTAATTTCACTTTGCTTTTGCCAACCTCAAGAATCAGAGTGAAGGATAAAAGTATTACAAAAATGTACCAAGTTAAAAGCAGCAGAAACCCGTTTATTAATTTAGTTGTGGGTAGCATTATTTAAATCGTTCTAACAGTCTGACATATGCCATCTAAGAGAGAGAATTGAGGACGTTAGAATGGTCGTTTGTTTTTCCTTAATGTCTCCAGAGGCTAGGGAGTCTTTTTACATCATCCACTACTCCTTGGCCTTTTCGAGGGACCCTGACGCTTAGCATCAAATAAAACCTCTGTGGCAGCCTGTGGCATATCTGACACAAGATCACCCAGATAAGATGAAAATCAAAATCCTTTTTTTTTTTTTTTCAAAGCCCTTCCATTTTATTTTCTCCTTCAAAAAGAATTCCCAGTCCAAATGCCAAGACTATTTTATTTTCATTCAGTTGACACAAGTCATTTTGCCTTTCATCTTTCTCTGAGAACAGTAAGCCACTCTTCGACTTGATCCACTCACAGGTAACTCCAAGCAGGTAATTTAAAATTTTAATGGTCGGATGAAACCTTTTTCTTCATCTTAAAACACAATATCAAAGGAAGCGGTACAAACTCCACGCTCTCAGCAGCTGCACCGCCACAGACACCCTGAGCCCAAGTGCTTGGGGCTCTTCTGTAATTGTTGCTGCTTTCAAAACAAAAACAACACAACACAACACAAAAACACAAAAAACAAACAGAAACCCCTTCTATTTGGCGCCTGACTTTTCCTACCTTTGGTTTCTCTTCATGTTCATTTGAATCATAACTTAGTGAGAAATATTAAATGGGCCACTTACCTGTTAGGACTTCAACTTGAAAGCAGAAGAGAAGGAAATAGCAGAGGTCTAACTTCATGTTTGCCAGAAACAGATACAATCCTCCCCGGTGTTCAAAGCTGACAGTGAATTCATGTTCTCAACTGTTTTCTATTTGCTGGAAAGGAAGTGGGTTTTGTGAGGGTTTATGTAGTGTCACACTTACCATCAAGGCAAGGAGGTGTCTCTCTCGATTGATGTCAATGGCTATTTGAGAGGCATTACTGCTTATGGGGTTCAGCTTAATCCATGGATTGCTGATAATTTTGAGAACAGACTTTCCCCTCATCCTGGCTCCAATAAAACCAGAGACAGAGACCATGCTTATTCTCAGAACCACCCTACTCCACTGATCAATAGTTATTAGGCGGGGCACCTGGGTGGCTCGGTCGCTTAAGCGTCGACTTCGGCTCAGGTCGTGATCTCGCTGTCTGTGAGTTCGAGCCCCGCGTCAGGCTCTGTGCTGACTGCTCAGAGCCTGGAGCCTGTTTCAGATTCTGTGTCTCCCTCTCTCTCTGCCCCTCCCCTGTTCATGCTCTGTCTCTCTCTGTCTCAAAAATAAATAAACGTTAAAAAAATTTTTTTTAAAAATAGTTATTAGGGATAACAGGATGTGAAAATAGCCACATGATAAATAGCCTATTTTTTGACACCTTTCTGTCTTGTGTTACTTGCTCCAGAGATAGAAAGCCTTTGAAACACGACAAACAATAAAGGAAATTATTACAGAAATTGAAATAAAAGATATATCTGGAAGAGGAGCGACAGAAGGGTCTGACAAATGCTTATATCACATTCACTGTAGATTGTAATTCCCCAAATGATGGATCACATGTTAATCCAACTTAAACCCTGCTCTGCGTATTACAGCAGTCTGTAGAAACCAGAAATTCTGTATCGATAGCCCCAAATGAAAGCAAGAAAGTTGAAAAGCCTACCCGTAGTCTCTCCATCCCTGTGGGGAGATAGAACAGATAATAACAACAACAATAATAATTATTATATAAATAAGGAGATTTTTATGTATGTAAGTGTTTATATGGAATACTCCTCTTAACACAAAACATGTACAAAACTAAATGTAAAATAATACAGATGTAATATGTATAAAACATAGAATATAGCTAACATTACATTAATCTGGATTATTTATGTATGTGTGTTTATATTATGTGTTTTTAATGTTTGTTTATTTTGAGAGAGAGAGAAAGCACAAGCAGGGGGAAGGGGCAGAGGGAGAAAGAGAGTATCCCAACAGTGCAGAGCCTGATGCAGGGCTTGATTTCACGAACCATGAGATCAAGACCTGAGCTGAAATCAAGAGTTAGGTGCTTAACTAACTGAGCCACCCAGGCGCCCCTATATTATGTTTTATACGTGTATTAGTTCATTTAATCCTCCTAATCCTTCTGTGAGATGGGGACTACTAATCTGCCATTTTACAGATGAGAAAAACTGAGGCACAGAGTTATAAAGTACCGGCACAAGTCAGATAGGAAGTGGCAGTGCTAGGATTCGGAGAGTCTGGCTCCAGAGTCCTCACTCTTGATCGGTGCAAGTAGAGCCATCCAGGCCACAGCCTGCTGAACCATCCAGAAGTCTGAACCAGCTTCCAAGATGCTGGATCCAGGCTGGGTTTCTGGGGAGTAACGGGGCAGGATCCACTCTCAGCCTGCAGAGGTGACAGCCAGGTGAAAGGCTGAAGTCAGTAGGTCAGGGCAACCAAGATTTCAGTCCAATATCCAGGCTTTGAAGCAGAACCAAGGTTTGGTGCTACAGAGGAGCAACTAGGGATACCCGGCCAGACCCAAGGGATTCCAAGGGTAAGGTACGAGGCTGATCCTACAGTGACACACCTAAATCTCTGATTTCCCAAGAGACTTTTTTCTAGGGCTCCTCAGCTTCAGTAGTGGGTGTGAAAGAAGCTATCTGAGGTGTTGAGCCAGCCTGAGCAGGAAACACTGGGCAACTGGGAACCTGTTACCCTGATTTCCTTCCTTTCCCTTCCACGTGCTCCCTGACGCATCAAGTGGAAATGCCTCCAGACCCGCCATCATTGTACTGGAGTCCTTTTCCAGCAAAGAGGAGGCAGTGGAGAATAATTGACTTTTTCTAACCTTGTTGTGGCCTAGCTCTGGAACTGAGTTTGGAAAGCTCTTGCTTCATCTGATGAAAGCTATCACAAATTCTAGCACTCAGCTGCAGTTACACAGAGGGAAGCAGGGCAGAAATCTAATAATGAACCTTAACTGAGTACCTACCCATGTGCCAGACATTGCACTTCACATGAGTGATCTCATTCAGTGCTCACAGCCTCTTTGTGACGTAGATCTCATTATTATTCCCATTTCTCAGATGAGGAAACTGAGGGTTAGACAGTAAGTAATTAGTGCAGGCTCACACAGCCAGTAAGTAATGGAGTCCAATCAAACCCAGCCAACGAAACTGAATCCCACACTCTTAATTACCACACCCTGATCACATGCCAGTCTTCATTTATCTGCCCATAAATCACTGATAACATGATTTGGGGGCCTCATATTTTGGCGGGAGTAGGGTGCTTAGGTCCTAGATGAAGTTCGAAAATATTTTAATGCAAAAGAGATTTCTTAAAAAAAAAAAAAATCAGGTGCAATGTTTCTATAGCTCAAGGGGAGAAAAGTTAACACACGTCATGGTGTGGCTCAGCTCATTTCAACTGGATATGCACACTTTTATTCTAAATCTGCTTTTTCCCAACCAACACAATCTCTGTTTGTAAGACACTTGGAGGTAACTGACGTTAAAGGTGAGCAGGCCTTGTCTCGATGTAAATGTGCCTTATGTCAGAGACCCGCTGTGAGAGATCCTGTCCGTGCTGCCTCTTCTCAAAAATCTCAGTTAAGAATACAATTACTTGTGGTTTTAAATATACAGAACTACTTTTTATGTGCCTGGAAATAAACTGGGCAAAAATTTCCCTTCACCCCACAGGAAGCACTTTTTGTTTGCTTTTTTTTTTTTTTTTTTTTTTTTTTTTTTTTCATTTTTTATTCCATGACTTAAGACGGTTTTGATTTGTGTGTGCAGATGCCAGCAGTGAGGGTGGGGAGTGGAAAGTCTGTTGCATTAAAAGTGGAATGTTTATTATTACTCGACTTGTGGGCACCAGGGTTGGTAATGCCGTCTGTGTGCTTACTTTTTTGAAGTTCCACAGGTGAATGTCTTTCTTTTGCTTTGCTTGAAACTTACTGAAGGCAAAATTTGCATGTGCACAGGAGCCCACACACCAGAACCTTTGAGTTCAAACAACGGGGTTAAAAAGCACCTGCAAGGTTATCTGTGCTACACCTAAACTGGGTGTGCCAATCTAAAGTAGAAAAGCAGTGAAAGAGAAGTGTTGTCCCTAATCAAGATGGTTTCTCCTCCGAGTGGCACCACCATCCTGGCACTTATTTAGCCAGAAGCCTGTGTGTCAGCCCCCTCTGTTCCTCGTGAATTCACCAATGAGCCCCACGTTCTACTTCCTGGCTGTCTGCCGTGTTGTTTTTCTTCTTTTCTTGCCAGGGTCACTGCCTTAGGTCAGGCCTCCAGCATCTCTCTCTGCACCTTCCTGTCCCCACACTGGCCCCACATCAATCTGTCTCCTCATTACAAGCGCTAAATAATCTTTGCAAAATGTAAATCTAATTCATCTTGCTCCTCTGCTTGGCACTCTCCGCTGGCTTCCTGTTAGTCTGAGATCCGGCCCAAACTCCTTACAAGACCCGTTGCAATAGGGCACCAGTTCAGCCTCCTCTCGTGCCATATTTGCTCTTTCTTCCTTCTGCATTGAACACTTCAGCCTTATTGAATAACATGGTGTTTCTCAAATTTCTCAAGCTACTCTTCCTTCAACTGCCAGGAGCTCTTTTCACATCTCTACTTCCCCTCCCCACCACCCCAACCTCCCTTCTCCTGAAGAAATCATCCTACCATTCTTCAGGCCTTTGCTTACACACTCATCAGTTCATCAAAGAAGCCTTTCCTGATCCATTCGCTACCAACCACTTCCATAACTAGATTCCAAAGAAGATGCCTTCTTTGCATCCATATCTGCAATGTTGAACAGGTTGCCTGGGGCATACTAGAAGCTCCATTACTATTTGTTGAATGAATGAGTGAATAGTTCTGGACTTTTGAAAGGATAATATGACCTCAGGAAGAATCACCAATTAACACTTTGCTCTTTGAGTCATAATTTGAGGGCAGAAAAATATCAAGATGTTTGTATTTCACCCTGAAATTGATTCAATACATATAATAATTATCCTGATATATCTCTCATCCAATCATTTGTCCATCTCTAACTAGCAAACAAAAGAACATTCCATTTTAACAGCCAAATAATTTCTCATTTAAGAGTTACTAATTCATGAAGCCCAGCAAACTAATTGCACATTTCCAGGAAGGGTGAAAACAGTCAGTGTGAGATGTGACTATAAAGTGTTATTATTGATATTTTTAACAAAAATACCCCAACTTAGTCACCTTGGCAAACAAGGCCTTCATTCTGATGATGGTGTAATTGCTCAAAACATCATAAAGCACCTCCTTGCATCTCCTTCCTTTCAGTCTTTCCAGGGTTCCAGTCCCCAGTCCCATCCTTTGCCCCTGGACCACCTTCCTATGGCTCCTATGGTTGATAAACATGCTAGGATCTCTTCATTCACGAATACAAACACATTTCCTCAGACCCTGTAACCTCTGCCATCTCTTACTCTCTTGCTTAGGAAGGAGATGTCCACATTCAGTCTCTACCCTTCACTTCTTTCCAGATCTTCTTGAATCTACTGTAGATTGATTTCTGTCTTTATCATTCCATTGAAACTGTTTTTCCCACCTATGAGCTCCACAATGCCAACTCCAACCAACATGCTCTATCCTTCCCTTCTGTGACCTCTCTGAGTCATTTGGTGCTACAGTATTTTATGTTGATATTATACATACGTTATCTTGAAACAGTACCACCCATTCCTGATTAAGTTATCGGAACCAAGGGCCATTATGTTCTTTTAGGCT